CTAACTAAGTTAACAGACTTGGGCTTATGGGAAGTGGGATTGAATAGGCCTGGTGATTTAAAAGCTGGAAAGCTTGATTTTGGGCTGGTGTTAGATGATTTAAGGCCATTGGGTTGGAGTTTAATGGGTTGTCCGAATATTTATGCTATTATTGCTCAAGTCTTTTTCCTTTCTTCCTTTTTCTTTTCAGCTTCTAAATTGGACTCAAATATATTATTTTCGAACACATAATAATAATAATAATAATAATAATAATATTGCTTAAAATACTATTAATAATTAGTATAACAGTGATAATATTAGTAGCAACAATAGTGATATTAATAATAGCTATAGTAGTAGTAATACAATAATCACAACAATAATAAAAGTAAAGCAGTACTGAAAAATAAAGTATTTGATGTATTTATAACTTAGAAGCTCAAGGAATTAATTAGAAGAAAGGAGGGACAAAATTGGATGTCAACACCATGTTGGTATAGTTATATGCCAGATTGGTATCATATGGTAGTTTGAACATTGTTTTGGTTGTTTTAGCTGCATTTTAAGTGAATTCTATTATGAAATTATTTATATGAACATGAGTTGCAATGCTGGAATTTTTGTGTGCCGATGGACATAAATTATGTGTATTATATAATAGTTTNGTGGTTAGAGATTGAATGTGGCTCTGGAAGAGCTGAGTTAGAGGAACTCGATTTTGCATCATACTGATGATGAGTAAATGTAAGTTCTTCAGCAGATCATGTGTCTACTAAGATGTGTGAGCTTCTTGAAAAGGAGCCCCAAGGCATGGATATCTATCCACCCATATGGTAAAAAGCAACAAGAGAATCAGAAGGTAGATACAAGTTTCAACAAATAAAAGAAGCAAGGTGGCGAAGGTTACGAGGTACCAGTTAATGAAGGTTCAGTATTTACAATTCAGGCAGAGAAATACATGCATTCGTAGTTACCTTGAACAGTAACAGAGTTATATATAATTGACCACACCAATCTCAATATGCCCTATGGGAGCTGACAATTATAATTTAAGAGAATGATGTAATATGAGGATCAAGCTAGGATTAGTGTAACCAAAAATTATGGATGGATTGTTATCATTAGCTAACATTTCCGAAGGGTAGTGCAGATGTGGTAATAGATCTCCTTGTGAGACACCCAGATGATGAACTCTAGAATAGTGCAATCAGATATGAATACTAGAATATTCAGAAATTTCAGAAGATAGGCAGTGGAATCCTAAAAGGGATAAATATTTACCTTAGTATGACTCCCGCCCCTAGAGAGAGAGAGAGAGAGAGAGAGAGAGAATTAGGCATCCCGAAAAGCCAGTGAGATGAAGCAAGGGGAGCTAAAAGTGAAAGGACGTTTTGTTGAAGTTTTCAGAATAAAGTGATAGATAGAAATATTAGTCGGAGGATAAGAAGAGAGTAAATAAAATATTATGAGTAAGATGTGATAAATCGGTGATAATAGTAAATCAAAATATGACAGGAGGACAGAGTCTACATCCAAGTGAAGGGAAAGACAAGAGGTCACAGGCCTTGATGCAATAAAAGAGTATAAGCCATAAAGTCATATCCTCATTTCGAGAAATAAGTTAATGACCAGAATTGATTACCAAAAGGCTAAATTAGACCCCGGGAGTAATAAAAATCAGTATGGGTTGGAGAACAAGATAAAATCAAACATGAATTAGGGACCGGAGGATTTGGTAATAGTCGACATCGTGAGAATTTCAGAGATCGTGTTCCAACAGTAATAGAATAGACAATAGACGAATAACCTTTAAAGGTCATTTAGGAAGTCGCTTACCTAAAGCAAGCAGTCTGAGCAGAGCTAATCTTAAGGGACTAAGTGTGCCAGTTACACTAGGTGTCACCTTCGTGCGTAAGAAATTTAGTTATCCCTGGTACAGAAGGTTACCATAAGGCGATTAAGGTTCATTGATAATGTGAAAAGATGCCAAAGATGAAGAGGTGAAACATCTATAGGTAGATCGTCGTAGTATTAAATCTTAGTACTCCCCTAAAGGGGGAATATGGTGTGATATGGTATTAAGTCGGAGTTAAGCGGTTCAGGTAACTATGGAATGGTAAAGGAAGAATGTGGTAAAAAGGAGAAAGGGATGATGTTGCATTTGTTCAGTTCCTACAGATATGTTGCGACTCCAGAACATTACACAAGCACGTCATCGGAGAGAGGCAGTAAGGGTTCCCACACCAGATGTTATTGATAAATAAGTGTGAATGAACACTTGATACATAAGGAGCCAGTACGAGTGGTAAGTTAAGACAAAGAAAATAACCCAAGAGAGATTATGCAGAATATATATGAGAATGGACCAACGAGTAATTAGTAGTTGATTCAGAAAGAGCCCGGTTATGGCTAGACAAGAAGTCACAGATAAATGAATAGATCATGCAAGATAAATGTAGTGAACCGCAGCATAGGGAATCCAGTCTCGTAGATACGAGATTACAATCATCTGAAAATTTTCAGATAGGAGTTGAGACCGTTAAAGGTACCATTTATGTTTTATGAAAATAAGAGAGAGTGCCAATAAGGAGACAGTCAAAATTTGAGATTAAAAGTAACCCTACGAGCACAAGGGCATGAAGTTATGTAACTAAGGATTATTGTAGGCAAGTAAGAACAACGAAAATTTCCTTCGAGTGTACGACATATCACACTCGCAACTTTACAAGAGCCAGAAGGTCTCCCTAAGTACTACAATAAAAGACTAGCTGAGGAAATAAGAAAGAAGGTTTCCACCTAAGCATAGTGAGATAAACAGTAAATGATCTTGTAATAACAGTCTCACTACAATATTGTATACACTCCATAAGAAAGTGGCACCTAAAAAAAAAAAAAAAAAGAACTCATCAAAGGTGATGTTTGAGATCATACGAGGTATAGGAAATTATAGTATTCGTGGGCAATAAGACAAGCCAAGTATTCATGCAACAAGTGATAGAACGACCAGGAAAAGTGAATGCTTACATTTAAGGACAACTGAGAAGGCACGAAAGGAAATTTATGGTGCTAGCAAGTTAAAGGAAGGTTGCGAGTAGTATAAATAGATAAGTGTAGGTCGTAAGGTAAAGTATCGCAGAGCAACAAGGTTTTAGGTAGATAGGAGTAAGGATGTGAAAAGGTGAGTGAGAAGGTGACGAGAATATGTATGTCCTTGGGATTAAACCCATCAAAACAAGGGAATGATGATTTCCATATATAATAAAAAGCTCGGTACAGCCTGAATGAACACAGAGGAGTCTAAGACTAGGAGCAATTAGAAGAGAGGAAATGCTGCCCCGTTAGTAGAATAAGGGTGTAATTGTGATAGATAAAAGGATGACATTTAGGCCTTTGATTGAGGAATGATTTAAAGAAAAGGGATTTTATGAATTGCACGGGATTGGAATACCCCCATAAGATGAATCATGTTAGGATGCTATGAAATACGGTTATTGAGGTATAGTATCGTCCCAAGGTGGATCNAAGCATAGAAATAAAAAAGAATTGGAGAATAAGGAAAAAATTTCCCTCAAAAACTACTATGAGTAGGAAATGTAATTAGTTTATGGGTAGAAAAACAAATGGGTAGACAAGGGTAAATAGTTTTGTTTTTGTGGATAACTGTGTCCAAGGCCGGCTCTAACCTTAGGAGTGGTAAGGCCGGTGTCTTAGGCCCCCAAATTTTGGGGGCCCCATTTTCTTAAAAATAATAGGTTTATAGGTGTTTAAAAATAATATTTAGTACTTTTAATACTAAAAAATAGAGTTTTTAATATAAAAAGAAAGAAAACTCTTTATATATATAAAAAATAAAGTAATAAGTTGGCTTATTTAAAAATGGATAGATGAATAGTTTTCTGACGTTCCAATGTTTCACTTTTTACTCTTTCATTAGATAACATGTAAAAATTTACTCTCCCTTTCTTAGTTTGTCCATGTCAATCTTTCTTTTTCCCAATCTCTTCGTAGTTTAAAAACCTCCACATATTTTTTGTCTTTCTCTTTAATATTCTTAATCACCTTCTTTCTCCAAGATTTCATTAGTTTAAGTGTTCAACAATACTTTCAAGCTTCCAATAATTCTATACTTCTATTGCTCTATAATATCTTATTTAAAATCAACAATATCTCAAGAAAGACTAAATGAGTTGGCAATAATATTAATTGAGAAGGAATTATTAGAAAAAAATCGATTATAAAAAAGAATATTAACAACTTTATATCTCAAAAAGCTAGAAGAATAGACTTCAAATAAAAATATTTCTTATAATTTTTTTTTTTAAAAATTTAGGCCTCATATTAAACTTTGGCTTTAGGGTCCGCATGTGATTGAGCCGCCCCTGACTGTGTCATTCTCCCAATACGAAATGGGGCTATTTATACAAAGTATTGAAATTGCAGGACTTCAGGTGCTAGAGGTCAGCCTCGCTCGCGACGCAGGCACCTCAGACATGCACATCTGGTGCAGGATTTTTGCTAGTTTTTCACGCAAGAACCCTTAAAGTTCCAACTAGGGTACTAATTGTCCAAATACATCTTACAAACTGTTAGAAGCTTCAAGCAACGACTCAAACCGTGTACCAAATCCGAGGGGTAAAGTCACTATTTTTTTACTTTTAACCTTCCAAATAGCAAGATAGCGTTCTAATCCTTCTCGAACCCTTCAGGACCAAAACAATTTATACCCACAATAAGATACCAAATGAACCCACGGGAAACCTCAAATCAAGGAGGAAGATGCTAAAACTCGAAATGACCGATTGGATCATTAAACAAAATCTCTCAATTCGAGAGCTCGAATCCGAAACATCTTGTTAAGGGTGAGGAATCTCATGCATCCCACTACATCCTTTGGTCACAAATGAGAGTTAAATGTCATGATTGGTCATTAAAATAAAGGTCTATTGCAAGTTGCGAAGCTAAATTTGTAACAAAAACATGCAGAAACTATTTTCCATAAAATGAAAAATGCCGAAAAATCATCAACCTTGAGCTGAAATTTACAATTAAGCTGCCACAAGTTAATATTGTCAAATAAGTTGTGTATGGTTAATTCGTTATCAGAATACCATATCCAACACCTACAGCTACTACTAGCAAAATAACAATTCCAGGTCTCCCTTTACGATTACATGACTTTAGCAAAATATGCAACTATAACTAGGGAACACCTGAAGTACAATTGTAGATTTCATCGAGTGAAGATACATGTTAAACAGATATGGAATGCATACATCAAAATACACCAATTTCTTCTCTACAATATCTCTCTAATTACACCTCTCTTTCCGTAACTTCGTGAACTAATTCCATCATATTCTCAAACTGAGTTCATGAACTGGACACCAATATTTCAGTAGTACTGTGCGCTAATGGTGCTGCAGCTACATGTTTTACTAGCTCCTGCTTTTAATTTTTTGTTGCAACAGGCAGGTCTCCTTCGCTCTTGGCCGTGTGCTTGCAAGTTTTCAGCGCTTTAGACTTTTCCCTGTGTCTCCTTCTGTTAAGACGGGACGTGAAGTGATGCTCCGAGGTGGTTGTCAATTGGCATTCTGCACAAGCCCACTCTGTCTCAACTTCCTTTGAAGAAATAGTCTCTCGTAGTTTAATCTCTTCTGGAACTGCCGCTTCCTTGACTAGCAAACCTGTCGTATTATTCGCAATCTGAATTAGATTCACCTTCAAATTTTTAACCTGCAGGTCCATGGGAAACTTTAATAACTGGCATATTGATTACTTTTGCTTGATTACAGAAGAAAGAAAAAACAAATACTAGGCTAGTATTTGTTTACTCTTCCTAACTTGGCCACTAAAAGTATCGCAAACCGCTAGTTCTCCTCACCAGACAGCTTGTTTGCTGAGTAATTGCATCCAGACTCCAGATAATACTTGTGAACACATAATATTCCAAAAAAAAAAAAAAAAACAACCAATGAAATTCTAGTGTTAAAAAATATTACCTGTTTTGGCTCAGCTGCTTCATGTTTTGCCATTTGTTCTATTGCTTTGATATCTTCCCAAACAGGACCACCATCTTCACACTCAATTCTGTTTAGGGGCACTATGAATGTTATTAAGGAATGAAAGAATGTGCGTGGATGAAATGATTTTCACAACAAAAGAATAAGAGAACGGCACCCAATTATGTGGCCTAGTAGTTAATAAAGCGGGTGCAAACGTTGGAGACCAGGATTCAAATCCCATAGACAAAAATACTGAGTGAGGTTTTCGCAGTTAATACCAAGGGAAATTCATAATTTTTTTATGCTTTATTTGAGACAGCTGATAGCTGCACAATGCAGCCTATTAACGCGCATATACAATATTTTATGGGTCGGAAGGTACATTGTGTCTATGCAGAAGGAGCGAATTCATGAATTTGCTGGAAATAATAATCAGTGCATGATTTCATTACTTTATGCAAACCATTCAATAATTAGTACTCAACTGCCAATGTAATTTTCAGATTTATTATGGTGTGAAAACGCCAATAAAGCAGCAGCATAAGAAGTTAACAACAGTTTCATACAATACAACTAGGAAAAATAGCTGTGGCACCTGGTTAGCAGTGAGCATTCCTGCTTTATTGCTAGTATCAGTAGTCTTGATCTCTTCCGTGTGATGATCCAGACTATAATCTTTGGACTGCAATAGGAGATCATGATACATACACTAATGACGAGCATTGAAAAGAATGAATAGTCAAGTTTGAAGTTGCTACATTGTCCAGTGGAATAATTACCTTACTTTATCAACAAAATAAATAAATAAATAAATATTTATGCATTATGCAGTGGACATGCAGTCATACATTTACACGTCCTTAATGGTAAGAATCTAACATTTGGCGACTGAAACAAAGTAGCAGTCTCAACTCTCATGTACCTAGCTGAAAATAAGTGGCACCAATTTACCAAAGAAGTGGCTACTCCTTGCTGAAGTAACATCAAACATACCTTGTTTGCAATAAGTTTCTCAGGGACATCAAATCTAGTCTCTTCGAGATAGCTCCCTGCCACAGCCTTAGAACTCATTTCTCCCGTTAAGATGTGCAGCCATAGCAATCTCGCCAGAGTACCTCTTGTTACAAGTACCACACCATAGCGTAGAATTATGAGCAGCAACATCAGCACTCTTCAGTTGCTTTGGCCTTTCTAGTAGTCCTTTCGTATTATTCTCAATCCGAATAACATTTACCTTCAAATGTTTGACCTGTAGGTCCACTAGACAATTTAATAACTGGCATACTGATTGATTATGCTTGATTATAGAAAAAAAAACTTAAGAGCTTCAGTTCTCTCCGTTTTTCCAATAGGCTTCTTAAATTCTCATGAGAATTAAACAGAAGCTCAAGATAATACTAAGATATCGAATGCAAACTTCAAAAAGAATCTACAAGAGAATAAGGAAAAGAATGGTACCCAAGGATGTGGTCTAGTGGTCAATTAAGTGGGTGCAAACCTTGGACACCAAGGTTCAAATCCTGGTACAGACCAAAAATATTGGAAGTATTTCTTCCTATCTATTGATACCTTAGTGGATAAAGTTACTTGGTACCTATGCTGGTGGCAGATAGCAGGTACCCGGTGGAATAGTCGAGGTACTTGCAAGCTGGCCCGGACACCACCGTTACCAAAAATATAAGAAATTAAATAAGGAAAAGATTTAATTTCGCTGTTAACTAAGGAAAGTTCACATTTTTTAATGCTTTCTTACTAAGTTGAGAAGTTATCGACAGTTTCATACAGTACGAGGAGCTACGAATAACAACTGAGGAACCTGGTTGGTGGTGAGGAACCTGCTTTATTAAAAAGTTGCTATATTTGCCCAGTGGAATAACTACCTTAATTTACAACAACAGCAACAAAAATACCAGTGGAATATGTAGTCATATACTTGCACATCCGCAATGGTAAGAATCTAACATGGAATCTGACATTTGGTGACTGAAATAGAATAGCAGTCTCAATTATCATCTAACTAGCTGAAAATAAGTGAGCATCCAATTTTCTGATAAAGTGGCTACACCTTGCTGAAGTAACATCAGACATACCTTGTTTGTAACAAGTTTCTCGGAAACATCAGATCCTTTCTCTTCAAGATTCCTCTCTGCCACAACCTTCGAACTCATTGTTTTTTGAACTTTGGCCATATGCTTTCTCCCGTTAAGATGTGCTGCCATAGCAGTCTCGTCATAGCACCTCTTGTTACAAATACCACACCGCAGTGTCGAATTATGAACAGCAACATCAGCACTCTTCAGTTGCTGACCAGCAGCTGCTAGGTCGACCTTTTCTTTCAATTTTATTAGAAATTTTGGGAGAGCAAGACAACTAAACAAACACTCAAAACTCACTATTAGAGAGGTGGAGGAAAAGATGATTTCTATTCAACTTCACTTGCTCCAAATGGCTAGCATACATGGGTATTTATAGTAGAACTCCTACATGTATCTAGCCTAAACTTCATGTGTACATATTAATTAAGTCCACACATGTACACACTAGTCCATACATGCCTACACTAGTTCACACAAATTCACACATGTCCACACCTTACTCTTTTCTAACTATATGTATGAAAATATTAAATTAATGTAAACAAATCTAAACAAATGTGGACAAATGGAAACAAGTTTATTACTATTTTTAACATCCCCCTTAAACTTGTTTCATTACTCCAAGCGCCATCCTTAACTTTTGAAAAGCGTCAATCTTCAAAGGCTTGGTGAAAATATCCGCAATTTGATCTCCAGACTTCACATGCTCAAGCTCCACAACTTTATTAGATATGCAATCTCTAATAAAATGATATCTCGTATCGATATGCTTGCTTCTTTCATGAAATACCGGGTTCTTGGCTAAATCTATAGCCGATTTGTTGTCAACAAAAATCTTTGTAGCATCCTTCTGTGGTTGGTGAAGTTCTTCCAACAAGCTCCTTAGCCAAATTGCATGGCAAACACACGAACAAGCTGCTACATACTCCGCTTCACAAGTTGACAAAGTCACAATTGGTTGCTTCTTAGAATTCCATGTAAATGCGGAATTTCCAAGAAAGAAAACAAACCCAGTAGTACTTTTCCGATCATCAATATCACCAGTCCAATAGTACTTTTCCGATCATCAATATCACCAGCCCAGTCACTATCACAATATCCCACGAACTTGGATTCTTTAGAAGATGAATAAAGAATTCCATAATCAAGCGTACCTTTGATGTACCGAAGTATTCTTTTGGCTACCTTTAAGTGCGAGGTAGTAGGAGTTTCCATAAAGCGACTCAGGAGTCCAACTCCAAAAAGAATATCCGGCCTTGTACATGACAAATACCTTAAGCTTCCAATAAGACTCTTGAAAAATGTGGGATTGACTCTATCTCCATCTCCATGCTTGGATATTTTAACTCCACATTCAACGGGGGTGCTTACGGGATTGCAATTCTCCAACTCAAATTTCTTGAGAATTTCCTTTGCATACTCTCCTTGAGAAATAAAAATGACATCCTTCCTCTGTGCTACTTGAATTCCAAGATAGTAGGACATTAGGCCAATGTCCGTCATCTCAAATTCTCTAGCCATTGCTTTCTTGAATTCTTCAAACATCTTTGGATTATTTCACGTAAATATCAAGTCATCTACATACAAGCAAACAAGTAAGATGTCACCATTTTTAGCAATCTTTACATAGAGTTCATGTTTATGTGGATACTTAGAAAAACCATTTGCTTGGAAATATTTGTCAATTCTACTATTCCAAGCTCGCGGGGCTTGCTTCAACCAATATAAAGCCTTCTTTAATTTCAAGACTTTATCTTCTTGTCCTTCAACCTTATATCCCGAAGGTTGATCAATATAGACCTCTTCCTCCAATACGCCATTCAAGAAAACCGACTTCACATCCATTTGATTGATTTTCCATTGATTTTGTGCCGCCAAAGCAATGACAAAGCGAATTGTTTCCAAACGAGCAACCGGCGCAAATACTTCATCATAGTCAATACTGGCCTTTTGCTTGTAGCCTTTAGCTACCAATCTTGCTTTGTACCTTTCTATTTCTCCCTTGGAATTCTTCTTTAGCTTGTACACCCATTTGACTCCAATGGTGCTTTTGCCTTTTGGAAGTGTGACCAACTCCCATGTATCATTCTTTTTTATAGCTTTGATTTCTTCATCCATTGCATCCCTCCATTTGGAATTTTGGCAAGCATCTTCAAAGCTTAGAGGCTCACTGTCCACCAGCAAACAAAAATGAGTAAAATCATACAAGTCATTTCTTACCACTTCCGTATTTTCATACAAGTCACAGAGACTTCTACTCTTGTGAGGTGCTTCACTTGAACTTGAGCTTGATTCCCCAACTTCTTGATCTTGTGGCGGAGGTGTTGAAGGTGGTGTGATAGCCTGCTCCCCATCTTCTTCTTCATCATCTTCAAAGAATGGACTAAAAGAGTATTCTTGCTCTTTAGATTTCCACTCCCAAGCATTATCTTCATCAAACTCAACATCTCTACTTATGGTGACCTTGCCATTTTTGGGGTTATACAATTTATAACCTTTAGAACTTTGATCATAGCCAATGAAGACATACCTCTCACTTTTGTCATCAAGCTTAGACCTCTTCTCATCTGACACATGTGCATATGCGATGCTCCCAAAAACTCGCAAATGAGCAACTTTTGGCTTGAAATCACTCCATGCCTCTTGTGGTATTTTTCCACGAACACTTTTGGTGTGACACCGATTTGATAAGTACACCGCACAAGCAACAGCTTCAGCCCAGAACTCTTTTGGCATATTTTTGCTCTTCAACATACTCCTCGCCATGTTGAGAATAGTTCGATTCTTTCTCTCCACGATGCCATTTTGCTGTGGTGATCTTGGAACTGTCAGTAATGACGAATTCCATTTTTCTCACAGAAAATCTTGAATTCATTTGAAGTGAATTCTCCACCATTATCGGACCTAAGTGACTTAATTCGATAGCCACTTTGCTTCTCCACCATGCTCTTAAACTTTTTGAAGGTTTCAAACACCTCTGATTTTGCCTTCAAAAAATAAACCCAAGTTTTTCGAGAAAAATCATCAATGAAAAGTAAAAAATAATTACTTTTACCAAGTGAAGATGGCTTGATAGGTCCGCACACATCCATGTGAATTAACTCGAGAGGGCATCTTGCTCTTGTTAAAGACTCTTTAGGAAAGCTTTTCCTTGCTTGCTTTCCAAAGAGACATCCTTCAGAAAGTTGGTTGGGATGATCAATTGTTGGCAATCCATTCACCATGCTTTCCTTCTTCATCAATCTTAGGCTATCAAAATTCAAGTGACCAAATCTCATATGCCAAAGCCAAGATGAATCTTTGGCACATGAAAGCAAGCACCTCGGAACATCATTTTGAAGATATAAGATGAACATTTTATTATTAGCCATAGGTACTTTGGCTAACAATCTTCCCTTTTCATCTCTCATATACAACTTTTTGTCTTTCAAATGAATGTCATAATTTTTCTCTAAAAATTGTCCCAAACTTAAAAAATTACTTTTCATCTCCGGCACATACAAAATATTGGAGATTAATTGATGACTTTCATCTTTTAAGCGAATTAAAATCGTACATTTTCCTTTGATTTGAACTCGCGAAGAGTCTCCAAAAGTGATTGGGCCACCATTCAGCTCCTTATGCTCCGCAAATAAATTTTTCTTTCCACAAATATGATTACTTGCACCTGAGATAAGATACCATTTGTTCTTTTCCACATTTTCTTCTCCTTTGCATGCAAGAAGTAGAGTGGCATCTTCATCTTCATTTTTGCTCTCCACAAAGTTGTTTTTCTCCTCCGAATTATCTTTACATTCCCAGGAAAAATGTCCAAATTTATGACAAGTATAATATTCAACATTCGATTTGTCATACCTTCCTTGATTTTGTCTCCATCCTTTGCCTCTTTCACGACCTCTTCTTTGACTATAGTCTAGGCTTTTATTGTCTCTATTTGGTGGTTGACTACCACCTCTTCCCCCTCTACCACGACCTCTTGCATTTCCATGACCTCTTTGCTGTGAACCACGCCTTTCATCTTTCTCCTTGAAGGAAAGTTTTGCTTGCAATGCCTTTTCAACCGATTCTTCTTTCGGTTTCTTCAATTTTTCTTCGTGGGCTTGCAAAGAACTCGAAAGTTCATCTATGGTCATGGTGTCCAAGTCTTTGGACTCTTCAATAGCAACAACAATATAATCAAAATTTGAATCTAGGGATCGTAGTATTTTTGCAACGACCCTAGCATCCTTCAACTCTTCACCATATCTTTTCATTTGATTGACAATAGCCAAAACTCTTGAAATGTAATCTGAAACAGATTCATTTTCTTTCATATGCATGATTCAAACTCTCCTCTAAAGGCCTGGAGAGGAACCTTTTTCACTTTGTCCAAACATTTAAAGGAAGTTTGAAGAATGTCCCGTGTTTCCTTGGAGGTTGTCGCATTTGCAACCTTCTCGAACATCTTGTCATCCAAACCTTCTCGAACATTTTAAATTTTTTGGATTTCGGATTGGATGTTGGATTTGGTACTTTGGATTTTTGAATATCCGAAAATCCGAAAATTTTATACTTTATATTTAGTCCATTATCTATATGTCAATAATAATAAGCTAAATACCCTATCCATTAGATATTATTTCATATATGCAGTATTAATTATTAAATTACTGTCAGAATACTTTCTATTTGGACATGGTTTTACTATTACTACTTCTCATCGGTCGTATTAATGTCTCTGTTGTATTTTCTTGATAGTAAATTCATTACTTGAATACTTTATTTGGATGATTGCGGTGAGAGTGAGTAACTTTTCATGCAATTTAATATGAGTACTTCATTTGGATATTCATTTTTGTAAAAAGAAGAAACATGTCAACTTATAAGCTCAAAACCGAAAATCCAAAATATCCAACCCGATTAATCCGAAACCGAACTTAAAAAATCCGATCCAATCCGAGCTTATTTGGATTGGATTTGGATTGTCATTTCTTCAACCCGAAAACCAAAAACCAAAAATCCAAACCGAAATTCTATATTTAATCCGAACTGCCCGAACGCGCACCCCTAGCCACTGGGGCTACGTCAAATGCAATCATGGATTAATCATCATAGATCAAGCTAAGAATTTTAACCATCAAAGAAATATGAACAAACAGTTAGAGCAAAAACAGTGAATTTCATTGATGATTGATAAGATTCTACCACGAAGCATAAGAAGAAATAAAAATACTGAAAACATGAGCAAAAGAAACAAAACGTCCCGAACTGGGTCACTGGTTGATCTACACTAGGCTAGGATTTAAGGCTTGGAAGATGTAGGGGCTGGGTTATTTGCTTGGAGAAGTTTCAGCATGTCTTGAAGAATTCCATCATTCTTCTCCTTTTCCCTTGCAAGTTCAGTTCTGAGAACATCTCTCTCAGATTCTACCTCAACCAATCGTGTCTTCAGCCTTGCTATCTCAATATCCTTTGCCTCACTCTCCTGTACCAAGACTCTGACTTTGCTATTGATAGGTGTCTTTTTAGATGAACCAGGTTCATTAAGAATGACATTGACTTCATAATCGCAAGCAAACAGAGTGTTAACCCCGAAATGATCCTTGCTTGTACCTTGAAATGTACAAGCACAGTTGTGAGAATGAAAACATAGGGAATGGCATGAGTTTTGGTGCCATTGATAACCCTATCCAGTAGGTCCAAGAGGGTTTCCTGTTCAGATGAAACAAGTTCATCTATATTTTTCCCAAGTTGAAACAACCCCTCAGCTGCTTCGCCAGACCCACTTCCCCCTGTTTTGCTCACACTCTCTTCTATTTCAGTAAATTCCTCTCCCCAAATAACCATTGCACCAGTTTCTTTTGTTAGACCAACAGGAGTGGTTGAAGAATCAACCACTCTTGTACCCTTTCCCCTCACAGTACTCCTAGCACCCGTGCTCTCCTTTTTGTTTCCCTTTTTATTTTTACCACCAACTTTTTCAGATTCTTTAGTCTCAACACCTGCTATAGATCCTATCAGTACAAATCCATTCTCTAAATTTGCAGCAACTTCAGAATTTGTCTCAGGAGTAACTTTAGAATCAGAAGATACCTGTTCAGTTTCGGAATACCTACTTTCTTCCCCCTTATTAGCAGACTTAAATGAATCTTCAAATTTCTAGGATTCTTCTTCCCTACTTGATTTCAATTGCTTGTTTATTTTCTTGATCTGCTCTCCTTCAGCCACAATCTTACGAGCCATCATCTTTACTCTACTTTTCTTAGAGATTGGTATTGTAGAAGGTGTGGAAGTGATTTCCTGTGGTGGTGATGAAGGATTTTTAGAAGTGTTCGACATATCTGGGCTAGGGTATGGAAGAGAAGAGAATTATATTGTGTTTGAAAGATGAAAGAAGAACGAGAGTTTTTTAACCGCTTGAGAGAGATGAAGTAAGGAATACACTAAACTGATCAATATACAGGGAATAATTGATGGGGTAGCTACAGCTTTTCAGACTCTTAGAAGTTTTAATCAAACTGAAATTCAACTTTGAAGAGACATTGGAGTGTATCCCTATAATCTAGGTACTTCCATTCGGTTGGAACTCTTTTGAATTGGACTGGTTCACTTGTAACGGATAAGTCCAAAAGGAGTTTGGTATTTGGTAGGACTCTGCTCATGATCCAAATATAGTAATTTCAAATTATGCAGAGTATAGAAAACATACCGTGTTATCTTGATGAACCAGGTTCTTCACTGATAATTCTCTTGTGTAAGTCTAAATTTGCCAAAATAGAGAAAATATCATTAGAGATTATGAGTCATTTTAACACATGGCACGAGAGTATACTATGGAAAGTATGAGACTGAGCAAGATTTAATTTAATTATACACAATTTACAGACTTTCTAACCAAATTTTTTTTTCAATTTTTTTTCCGTTTAACCTTGAACTGGTTCTTTTAGGTGATCTTAATCATCCCTAATTTCAACCTGTTCCTCTCAAAGTGATCTCTACCTAAGGCTTTTGTGAAGATGTCAGCAATTTGCTTGTCAGTAGCACAAAACTCCATAGTGATCAAGCCTTTCTCATAGTTGTCCCTAAAAAAATGGTGTCTAACATCTATGTGCTATCTGCATGGTATTCCAGTTTCTATCATTTCAGATAGAGGTACTCAGTTTACATCGCGGTTCTGGAGAGCCGTGCAGCAGGATTTAGGCACTCGGGTGGAGTTGAGCACAGCATTTCACCCCCAGACGGACGGACAGTCCAAGCACACTATTCATATTCTTGAGGATATGCTCCGTGCGTGTGTGATTGAGTTTGGAGGGTCTTGGGATCATTTCTTGCCATTGGCGGAGTTTGCTTATAATAACAGCTATCAGTCCAGCATTCAGATGGCGCCGTATGAGGCCTTATATGGTAGGAGGTGTAGATCCCCGGTGGGTTGGTTTGAGCCGGGTAAGGCCAGGCTATTGGGCACGTAGTTAGTTCAGGATGCATTGGAGAAGGTTAAGATGATTCAGGATAGACTCCGTACAGCNTAGGGATGCAACCAACTTCAATACCAAAATCCATCAACTGCTGCTTGATCCACAACAATTGAGCACAATCATGAAGCAGCAGCAGCATACTTAGCTTCAGCAGTAGATAAAGCCACTGAATTTTGCTTTTTAGTAGCCCATGACACAAGACATGAACAAGGAAGTGTGCCATACCTGAGGCTGCTCTTCCAATCCACTAGGAAACCTGCATAATCAACGTCAGCATATCCCACTAGATTAAAATTACTACCTTTTGGATACCAAAGGCAAAGGTCAGTGGTGCCTTTCAAGTATCTGAATATTCTCTTTGCATTAGTCAAGTGGGACTCCTTTGAATTTGCCTGAAATCGAGCACAAAGAGCTACACTGCACACAATGTCAGGTCTGCTAGTAGTGAGATATAAAAGAGAACCAATCATTCCCCTATACAACTTCTGATCAACAGATGAACCAGGTTCATCTATATCCAATTTCGTAGATGTTGCAATAGGAGTGTCAATTTCTTTGGATGTTCCTTCCTGGTTTTATTACTGAGGAATAGGTTCATGGACAGGTTCCCTCGAGGTTAGAGGATCAGTTCCTCTCTAGTCAGTTCCCCCTGTCATGTTGCCCTGGGTAGAGGGACCTGTTCCATCACATGTTCCTTCCTGTGATGCTTCTTCAGGCTAGACTATGGTTTCACCATTTGAATTTCTTATCAGCCCAATCTCTTCATTATCTTGTTCCTGCTTCTCAGAAAGAATGTTAGTTTTAAATAACATATACATTTTTTTCTACACACATAGTTCTTTTACTGTATATCTTATAAGCTTTACTATGTGAAGAATATCCCGAGAATACTCCCTCATTACTTCTGGGATCATACTTACCTAGGGAGTCTTTGCCATTATTGTGCACAAAGCACTTGCATCTAAATGCCCTAAGATGGGATATATTTAGCTTTCTCCCTTTAAGTGACTCATAGGGAATCTTCTTAACAAGAGGTCTAGTCATGCAACTATTTATGATGTAGCATGCAAAAATTCAGCAAACTTAGGATTTTCAAATTTAGTTCCATGATCAAACCTAATTGATGCAAGTTGATTACCTAGTTGTTTCTGAGTTTTTCTAACAAAAGAAGTAAACATGTCAAATGCTTCATCTTTAGATGTTAAAAACAATGTCCAAGTAAACCTAGAGTAATCATCAACAAGCACCATCACATGTCTTTTACCACCTCTGCTTAATATTCTCATTGGACCACAGAGATCCATACGGACCAGTTCCATCGTTCTGGTGGTACTTACCACTTTCTTGCATTTAAAAGAGGATCTTACCTGCTTCCCCCTTGCACAAGCCTCACAAACTTTGTCTTCCTTGAGCTTGATGTTAAGCAGCCCTATCACCAGATCCTTGGAGACTAATATGTTGAGTTGGCTCAGACTTGCATGTCCAAATCTCTTGTGCCAAAGGAGGGGATCATTGTCCAACACACTTAAGCAAATGAGTTCATTTTCTGAAAGTGTGGACAAATCTACAATGTATGTATTGTTTACTCTTTTTTCCTGCAAAACAATCTTGTCAGTGGTAAGATTAATCACAAAATATTTGGTAGAGGTGAATGCTACCAAGTTACCTTTATCACATAATTGTGATACACTGATTAGACTGTACTTTAGGCCATCTATCAAGTAGACATTCTCAATAGAGTGAGAGTCAGTCTTACCTACCTTTTCAACCCCAATGATCTCACCTTTCTTCCCATTTCCAAAGGAGACATTACCTCCTTTGAGGTCCTCAAGTGAAAGGAACTGGTTCTTGCTTCCTGTCATATGCTTTGAGCAGCCACTATCCATGTACCATATTTGGCTGCTCCCCTTCACTTGGACCCGCGAAAGAAAATCAGGGGTTAGTCGTAAGAACCCAAACTAGTTTGGGTCCCTTTCTATAGGCAAAAGGGTGAATCAAATTCTTTTTAGCCCAACCTGGCAGCCTATTTTTCCCTTGAACAAATTCTTTATTCTTTTGACTAGGCTTTTCTTTTGCAATACATTCACTTTTATAGTGATCAGTTTTACCACAATGTGTGCAAATTTTGCTCTCAGGAAGTGTGAGGTACTTGCTTTTGGGATCCCACTTAGGTGCAAGGGCCCCGTAGCCAAGTCCTCTCTTAGTGCTACTATGGTGTTCATGTAGCCATGAAAGTGCATCGGAGGACCTATTCCATTTACAGGTTCTATCTAGCTCGTGCTTGACCTTGTTTAGATCCTCCTTAAGGACTCTTATCTGCTCATCTCTTTTGTACAACTCATCTTTCATTTTTCCTACATTTTCTTCTAAAGTGAGTTGTGTGTGATCAGATTTCTTTTTACCAGTTCCTAATTTCAATTTAAGATTTTCAGATTTAAGCTCTAAGACTGTGGTGTCAAGTTCATGAACCTGGTTCTTCAACTCAGCATTTTTACTATCACTTTCACTAGCCCTAAGTTCCAAGTTTTTGCACTTAGCTTTCAGAATCACACATTCCTTAGACAGTTGTTCCTTTTCATTGGTTATAACCTCAAATTCATCAATGAAATCTAGAAGTAATTCAGATAGACTTTCTTTAGACAAAAACTTAATCTTGTCTTTGAGATGAATTATACTTACCTCAGATTCCTCATCGGATTCTCCAATTGCCACAAGTGCTTGTTCATCTCCATCTTCGTCTTCTGAGTCATCATCTGAGCTTTCACCCCAAGCAGCAACCATAGCCTTTGTTAATCCTTTGTGCTTCTTGGGATGAACCTGTTCCTTCTTCCTGTTCCTTCGTTGAGCTCTTTCATTCTTCCATTCAATTTCCCATTGAGGGCAATTTTTGATGTGGTTATCAGTCTTGCCACACTTGTAACACCCCTCATTGGTTTGTTTTTCAGGAACCCTTGGTTTGTTGTAGCTTCCATTTCTTGAAGGACCATTTTCCCTCATTAGGTACTTCTTGAAATCCTTTGTGATCATGATCATTTCATCCTCCTCTAGATCAGCACCTTCAGTGATTCTGAATGCCATGCTCCTTTCCTTCTTGGGTGCATCCATCTTCATGGTTTGCCTTCTGAGTTCATAGGCAGTGAGATTTCCAATTAGCTCATCCAACTTAACAGTGGCAATGTTCTTTGATTCCTGAATAGCTGTGATTTTGCTTTCCCAAGAGATTGGCAGTACCCTTGTCAAAATCTTCTCAACTTTGTTTTCTTCAAGAATAACCCTTCCAAGAGACATAAGTTCATTTGTCAGTGTGGTGAACCTTGTATACATCTCTTGGATGGTTTCCCCTTCCTTCATGATGAAATTCTCATATTGAGAATACAACAGTGTTCCTCTGGACCTCTTCACTTGAGGTGTTCCTTCATGAGCCACTTGCAAAGTGTCCCAGATTTCCTTAGCAGTGGTACAGCTTTGAATTCTACTGTACTCGTCTGAACCAAGTCCCCACACAAGCCATTTCTTGGCCTTTGCATTCTTTTCCCACTTCCTCGAGTCCTCAGCATTGCAGTCAGCTCTTGTTTTTGGCACATACACTCCTTCCTCGTTCTTCTTTGTCTTTTTTGTAGTTTCCAAAGGACCATCAGTGACTATGTCCCAGAGTTCATAGTCCTCTCCTATGATATGATCTCTCATCCTATTTTTCCACCAAGAGTAGTAGTGGCCATTAAAGAGTGGAGGCCTATCAGTGGATTGACCTTCCCAGTTTCCAGGTGGTGCGCTCATTTTGATCTGTTCCTAAGGTGTTAGCCTCTTCAAGGATAACCTGCTCTGATACCAATTGATGTTCTAAACGCCAATACCACACAAGAGGGGGGGTGATTTGTGTGGTACCCAATTTTCGCTCTAGAAGAACCTGGTTCTTCTAGATGTACTAACTACTGTTGTTTGCGGAATGATAAATACATAAAATAAAGAACACAGAGATTTTTACGTGGAAAACACCTGGCTCAAAAGGTGAAAAAACCACGACCTACTACTCAGTAGGATTTTCCCAAACTTCCACTAAAATCACTGAGCCAAAACAGCATTTACAAAACTCTTTGTAAACCTAAGGATTAACTTTAATCCCGTTGTGGCAACCAGCCTCTAACTGCTGCGACAACTTCAAGTTAACTCTAACTTGAATACTCAAAATACCTATTATAATTGCTTCTAGATAAAGCTGAAAGGTACAATATGAAAACACCTACTACAATTGAACTAGAAATAAAGAAAGACACATAAAACTCTTTATTGAGCTGGTTCTTCAATCTGGTTCATGTAGCTTCTGGTTTGCACACTTGAATTACACACGAACTGCTTGCAAAAAGCCTTGCTATTTTGCTCCCAATTCACGTTTAACTTCTGCGTTTTTGTGCAACACTTTAATGTGAGAACATCCTGCAATTTATAGAGTTAGTAGATGAAGAAATAACTAGAGTTCTGATGCAACTCTTCCTTGGTAGAAGAGTTCTAGTTGATTTCAACTTCTAACTCCTTCCCTATCTTGAATTGTGTTCTCTTTGATAAAGGAGTCATTCTCCTTATCAATTATGCAACCTTTTCGATCAGGAGATATTAAATACACCAAGTTAAGCTTATCTCCTTCACGTGCAACCCACATGCTCGAATCTGCCCGTTTCTGTGCACCTGAGTGATGGACCTGGTTCATCCTGAATTTCTTTGTCAGTCTTCAAAACTAACCTTTACTTGGGCCAACAAGAAGCGCCTTTTAACCTCCTTGTCTAAGCCCGTTTGTGGCGCATAGCGGTAATGACATTCACAGTGCTCCCTCCAACTACTACCTTAATCGCCATCAATCTGTCATTCACCCGCCTAACCTCTACCACCGACTCTCTGAGCTCCCTATCCACCAAAATGCCCACTCCGTTCTTGCCCTTCACGACTCCGGAGAACCACAATTTATACCCGTCTACATCCCTCGCCTTCGATCCTACCCACCTAGTCTCCTGCACACACGCTATATTGACCCTCCTCTTTGGAGAATCTTCGGCAGCTCTATAGACTTACCCGTCAACGTCCCTATATTCCACGATCCAATTCTCAACCTACAGGCGACCTTGTTCCCTTTACCCCCTTTGGGCCCCGTCCCACCTCCTGACCCTTACCCTACCCCCCTCCCCACCACCCAATCTCCCCGAGGACATGACCCTACTCTGCCATTACAAACCACAGTCTCTATACCTACGAAGGTCTAAAAATGAAAAAGAAAAAATACCACACAAAACAACAAAGGGAGCAACTAGTAACTACAAGCCCACTACTAGACTAACTAGACTAGTACGGAATACTACGACAACAAAGTAATTAACACAGGAGACAGAGAAACAGGAGGCGGGAGGTACCAATTCCCGCGAATAGAACCTAGAACTTTCGACTTGGTATACTCCCAATGCTGCGGAACCCGACGTATAGCTGCTGCTCTACTGTTTGTGCGTGTGCACCTCCTTACCGCCGCCAAATAGCCACAAAAGTGATACCTGCAAAACACACAAAGATACCGGCGAGGAGTTCTCGAATGCATAAATGAATCGAAGAAACTCGGATATTCTTGCTCGAATGCGAGAAGAATATTCTAACAAATTCAAAGTTCAGAAATTGAATTATTAATATTTGTAAAAATTGTTTACACAATAAGTGATGTCAAAGATTTTGGAATCTCTTAAAGTAAACAAAATTGTGAAAAAATTGGCGGTTAAAATCAAAATATTTTGAGCTGTCAATAAAACACGAATTTAAGATTTTCCGAATTTGACCAGAGTAAAAAGGTTCGTCGGAGATTAGGACGGATAATGATTTCAATCGATGTTACAATAATCTGTAAATTTTTGTATCCAAGAACGCAAGCCAAAACGAAAAAGTGGTAATCAAGCAAAATTTGACGCAACTATCAAACTCAGAGATCGAAAGAAAATTAAAAAATATGAAAGAAAAATTAAAATTTAAAAGACGTCAGAATCCACAAAGCTTAAAATAAATGCTATGAGCAAGTATGGAAGTTCGTTGCCGGCGGCCGAGCAGTGGTTAACGCTATCAGCAAGTGCAAATCAGATTTTATGGGAAGTCTTGGAAAAAGTTTCAAAGTGAAAATCAAATAAAACACGAGTTTAAGATTTTCCGGCGGGAATTTGACCGGAGCAAAAAGGGTCGCCGGAGATTAGGACGGATAATGATTTCAATCGATGTTAGGATAATCTGTAAATCTTTATATCCAAGAACGCAAGCCAAAACGAAAAAGTGGTTCCGGCGGGGATTTAACCGGAAATAAAAAGGGTCGCCGGAGAAAATCTCAAGTTCAAGTTAAAAGGGTCAAGTGTTAGTGCATTCCTGAAGATAAAGTGTTAGTGCATTTGGCTCGAAAGGGAAATGAGAAAATTATCCAACATATGATTTACGTTATTAAAATTTTTGTCACGTTTTTTTATGTGATTATATATGTTTAGGAAGAGCATTTGGGGGGAATTAGCCACTGCTGGATGAGAAATTGGTATAACCACTGTTACTTTCTCAACTTCAAATGTTTTCACCACTCTCAGTTTACCTGCATCTCTGCAAGTCACTGAGTGTCACCAAAATGACGTAACTGGTTTCAACCACTATCAAAATTGCCATGTGTTTGTTTAATTTCTCTTAGTTTCGTTTTGCTTTATCCCAATTAGCTTTAATATAGAGTTAATAAAATTAGATGAAAGATCTTCCACCAAAAGCTGAGGTGATGGCATGGTCCAATAGAACTGGAATTGAAATATTTAGGTATGGTGAGCATATTATGGGCATTCCCATCTATCGTCTTCTTCAACGCAATCTCATAATTTGAAATAAGGGTACGCGCAAATATATGTATAATCCACATATAATACGTATATAACCATGTATAATTAGTGTATAATCTATATATACCTGCTAAGAAAATAGTAAATCTTACTGGTAATTTGTGTAAACAGTAAAAAAAAATTCATAGGAAATGTTAGTTAAGAGGCATTCCAAAGGCGCACTAGATGCCTCGTATCATCAACAAAACTAATACTCAATTTTTAATTGTCAGAATGATAAGTCAATTGCAGTTGCTTTCCAGCTTTTATATTCTAGCTACTCCTTGATTCTTATTCTCAGTCTGTTGTTTTTGGTGGCTGACCAAAAATATGTTTTGCCTACTCATAAATAAATAAGTAAATAACAAGGATAATTTAAATCATGAAAATACATCTTTGACTTTGTTGCTGAATGGCCAAAAACACCATGTCATCGACATTGAGTGAATTTTTTTGCCTTTGTTCTTAAGAAAAGATGTGGATCCGTGAATAGAGAGGAAGGTGAAAATAGAAGAGATGACCTTCTATGGGATTAACATCGAGTGGTGTAAGGTAGACTATCAGAATACATCGCTGCAACTTGAAGAGTTTTTTCATACTAAATTTCTCTAATTAATGGGAAATATACAAATCCAACGACTACCTCTAAAATTACATTTATTATGTAATTTTCTGTGGGAAAATTTCTTCTGGAGTAAGAAGTGAACCTACTAACTTGGAAGTACGACCAAATTGAAGCCTCGAAAAAAGTATGAAAAATAGAAGCATAACTGATAATGTACTTGTTAAGAACTGAATTAATTAACTGGCAAGTTGACTCAACATTACTGTCATTGCACTGCAAATTAAGGAATGAGCAAGGAGATAAATTACCGCTAGAAGCTTCACCAACAAATAGATGTCGTATACTAAATGAACAGATATCCTACGACAATTACAATTTTAATAGGAAAGAAAAAAAGATCTCCTCCAATCACCTCTATTACTTCATACTGATCTCCTATAAAATGATCGTGCAACAAATGGAACATTAGAAAATAGACCATAAAATATATCTCCCCTAAATACGGCCTAAGCATCACTTGACGATTGTCAATTGTATATTCAAGGGGCCATATTAAAACTACTGACGACACAGTTCTACGATAAAGCATAGTGGATATAATATCCAAGTAATCTTTTCCATAAGTTTTCTCTTATCTGCTCGTCTAGATAATAAAAAAGATTTAGTTAATTCTGCTTTCGACTATCAACAATATGACCGTTAGGCTGGAAAAACCTTGTCAATGACCACTAACATACCAATTAACAATAATACAATGGCGAGTAGATACAGGGTAAAACACGACGTGGATATGCTACGCACCATGTAAAAAATGACCCATGTATAACAGACGTCTGATTATCCAATTCAGTGCTCAGAATTGAATATAAACCGCTTTAAGAAAAACGCACTAAGTGGCAAGTTATTAGCATAGGTATACAAACCTATAGATGCGCCCACATACACTCAATGTATCAGGAATCGAGGCTGAATATTGTTCCCATCCAAAACAACGACAGTATTTCAAACACCAAACGCTAATACGTCAGCTCGTCGCAGTTATAACTTTACTGACAGCCACAGAAGTCCTCAACAACGGGCTAGTAATCAAAAAAAGCCAAAGGAAGCACATTATAGTATATAAAGCATGTTGAAACTGAAAACCAAGGAGTCTATATTATAAAGTTCATATTTCAGCATAAATTATTTGACCCAAAAGTGTATCAAGAACAAAATTCACTTGCTCCATCAATACCACCCAGCCTTTTATCATAATTCCATCGCTGTTTTCAACAATCAGATTAAGAATGAGTTCTAAGTTATTAAAATGAGGCACAACAAGCTTAAGCATTCAGCATTGAGTTCCTCCTGCACTCGGACAACATATCCATGTAGAATTGACACTTTCCAATGTTGCTTCCAGAGCTATTGATGCACTGCAAGATAAACCAAAGAAGAATGGCATCATCAGAATCTTTTAGTAAGAATAAGACATGTCATACTGACTATGAAGGCTAGAACAATCTCAAATTTGCAAAGTAAAAGTAGTTAGAAGGTGCAAAGTTGACACTTACGTCTTGGAAGGCTTTAGAGTGCATACTGCAAGCATCAGACCCAGCACCGATGGTTGTAGGAGCTGCTGCTGCAGCAGGTACCTCAGAAGCAACAGTTTCGTGTTGAATGGTGCGTGGACCCACGATCGCATCTACAGCCCTGTGTGCCACAGCACTTCCAGTACCAAAGGCCATCCCTGTAAGACATAATGGTAAACAGACAAGAGACATTTATGAGCAATTTTATTGGAGAATTGTAACAGAAATTAATCAGCCAATTATTTGACCGGATCCAAAGCCGAGCGAGCGAGCGACGCGAGGCTTCCCTTCCCTTCTTTTCAAATCTTTTTTCTTTCATTTATGAGCAACTTCGGAAACAGAATATAACTGATGAATTGTGATGTAAGTTTTTACATAATGCAGGATATACCCATACCTTGAGCTATGGTGGAACCAATACCACCAAGCATGGATCCACCACCGCTACTTTGCATAGGAGCTGGTGGAGGAGCATGGTGCACTGCACAAATGAGATAGAATATGAATTAGCACAAGCAAGGAAAATAGATTAAACGATAGAATATGAAGTAGCACAAGCAAGGAAAATAGATTAAACCATATCAACAAAAAAAAATGCCAACCAAATGAGTTGCCATGAGGTAAAAAGTTTGACAACCAAAAAACCAACCTGGAGCAGGACGAGGGGCCGCACGAGGGGCAGGACGAGGAGCAGATCTTCCTGTACACCGAAACATGGAAAATTTGAACTCATCAACCAGAACAAAGGGGCTACAAAAAGTTAGCCTTATTTCCTTTAGCAAACAGAAGACTACAGCACAAAAGGTAAAGTGACATATGCAAACATTGAAGGAGAATTAAGACAGAAAAAATTGTATAATTGAGGTTTTAAGCAATTCCGTGCGCCCTCTCCCTACTTGTTCCTTTAGAAATGTAACAAATTCAGCCTGAATCTCCTCCCCCTTTTAGGAATTGGTGAATCTCATGTCAAAATTTCTAGCCTCAAACTCAACACAAGTCAAACAGACACAATTAAAGATAAAACTATTGTCTACATAACCCCAAATAAACACAGGGCCTTCAACGAAAATACTAATGCAAATAATCTAGGGTGCAATTAGGGTTTCAATGTAACAGAAGCATATTTCCTTCTCAACCCACGAACCCAGAACTACAGTCAACCTTCGCAGAAAGGATTATCACCTAACTTGAGCTCAATTGAGAATATTCAATTGTTCATCTAATTAAGCCAATGAAAAAGATCTACAGGTAATTGGGGGATGAAATCCGAGTAAGTCACCAAATATCTTATCAATATTTATACCTTCTACAGTTTTCTTCATAAGATACGCATACTTGCAAGTTCTAAGAGAAGCATTAAATTAATTCGTTGCAAAAATTAAGATTCTTTAAATATTTTCTTCAAGTATTTTAAAACTTTTTGTTGTAAAAGCAAGAATTATAGTAATAAACTCAAAGAGAAAGGAAAAATCAAAACTTTATGATGAATCAGTTGCCTCCAAATATGAAAAATGAAAAACGAAGATTATTTCTTCGATTCACTGTAAGAGAATCCATTTCAATTTCCAGGAGTGACCAAACAACATCAGAAAATAAACAAAAAAGATAGGCAATATGGAAAGTAGATCTAAATTAAAAAGATAAAACGTAGATAGAATATGGTAATTACCAGAGCTTCGGCGAGGCATGATTTCCTGATAGAGGCGGCGAAACCCTAGCGTGAGATTTGGGATGAGAAGAAAACTCTTCAAATGCACGTATATGACTATGATATTTTCCCTGAAATAGATATATTAGGGGGAAAATTGTAGGCGGCGATATATATTGTTACGTGTCAATATTTAAGTGGTTGATGCCTTAATTGAATGAATTAGTGCTGAAGCTCACGTGAGGATGATGGAAGTCACCGCATTTGATTATCTTGCCGGTCTTTCCAGAATGTGCTGACTTAACAAATCTTCTTTAGTTCGAATGTGATATTTGTCAACATGAAATTTAAGAGTTAAAACTATAATTTTTTTTAACTTGTGATCTTATGTATATCAAGATTTTAGTGTGGTTGTACAATTATATCATTTAAGTTAAAAATAAAAAATTTAAAGTTGAAAACGATAGAGTTAAATTTATAACGTGGTTTATAGACAAGCGAATCGATTTGATCTAAAAACGATGAAGAAATACGAACGAAAATAAGATTAACTACTGAAATTAAAGGAGATAACAAGTCTGACTAAGAATTTAGCCTTTTCGAGGATAAAGGTAAAAGCAACGTTTAGGAGTTCAAATCGGGCGTAACAAGTCCCTCCATTTCAATTTATGTGAATCTATTTTCTTTTTAGTCCGTGCAAAAGAAATGACCCATTTTCATATTTGGAAACAATTTACCTTTGTGCAATGATTTATAGCCACACAAAATGTATGTGCCTCTTTGTACACCACAAGTTCAAAAGTCTT